GAGCACTCGTCTTACGGTCTTATGCCTGAATGTTACTTCCCGCATAGTGTGGGGAACCCTTTGAATTGACGGCACTTGGGCGTTGGTGGGGACGTCCATGGTGGAGTTGGCAGCAAAGATCTTGGCTAGCACTTCCGCCTTGGCCTTTGAGTCGAATACAATAGTTCCATCCTGACACGTAAGTGGTGGAAGGCTACTGTGTGAGAAGTTCTTTTCAATCTGCTTGGCCAGCGTCCAGAAAGACCGACTGCCATTGCGCTGCGACATTACCCTGTGCCTAACTTTTATATCATGCTGGGTTTTGGCATTGCGAACCGCTTCGTTATATTTGTTTCTGGACTCGACGTCGGCTTGTCTGTTCTCTACAGTGGGGTTTTGTAAGTAGGTTCTGTGGGCCTTGATCTTCTGCTGGCGAGCAGTGTCACATGATTTGTTGAACCAGCCGTTGGACCCTGGCTTAGGAACTTTCACTGTATGAGGGATGTATCCCTCCATTCCGACGTGGATAATTTCGGTTATTGAAGAACAGACAGTCGACGCATCCGCGTCAGTGAAACAGACATCTCTCCAAGGAAAGCTAGAGAAGAAGTCTCTGAGCCCCTCCCAGTCGGCATGTCCGTAATGCCAGGTTTTGCGGCCTGTGCGAGTTTCTGCGGCCACAGCGGCTTCTGACCGAAACCTAACCTCCACAACACCGTGATCTGAGTTACCCAGGGGGGACAGGACGGCAGTGCTGTAAGGGGCAGGATGCGTGGTCAGAAAGAGATCCAGCAGGCTACTGGCGTGTGACGAGACGCGGGGGAAAAAAGTAGGGCTCGTCACCAGCTGGGTGAGCCCTTGAGTAAGAGCGAACGCTTCGACTGCACGACCTGCTGCATCGGTCTTATTTGAGCCCAACCAAAGCTCATTATGGGCACTGAAATCACCGAGAATAACTACCTCTGAAGCGGGGTGATTGATGTTCAGGAAGTCGATCTGGACGGCGAGGTATTCGAGTAGGTCATCCCAGTTATGGTTCGAGGGAGAGCGATAAAGGCAGCAAATAAATTTGGGTGATGTTTTGGAGTTGAGGCGAAGCCACAGAATGTCCTTCCGGTCTGATTCCAAAGAAAGATCCCTGGAGCAGGAAAGACTGCTGCGGACAAAAGCCACAACTCCCCCGTTCTTTCTCAGATTGGAGTGCACCTCGTAGTTTGGGAAGTTGAGATGGTTAATCGGTGCAGCCTCTGAGATTTTTGTCTCCGCCAAGAAAAGCACGGCGGGACGATTGGATTGCAGGTAGTGATGAACAGCATCAATGTTGCTGTTGATCCCGCAGATGTTCGAAAAACAAATTTTATCTTCGATGTTGTTCCCTCGAGCCCACCCTCCACCCGGACATTCCGAGAGTGGAGTGAGTTTGAAATTAATCGATTATTTCAACCAGTACGAGTTCGTATTATCACAAGTACTGTATATTTTGCTTTAGTTTAGTTAGTTACTTTTCATCTGATGGGAAAATATTCTGACTCGGATTCTTTTGCATAATCCGATTCAAAAAGGAGTCCTTTTAACGAATCTTCATGAAAACAGGCCCAAATTTGCATCAAATATTTTTGACATTGCCATTTCAAAAAAATATTTCCAGTCCAGTGTTTTTAGGACATCCTAAAGAAAGAAAGGTGCTCTAAAACGTTGCCAGTTTCCAAGATATAGGTGATGCCGTATTCAAGTGCAAAATATGCTATTTTGTGAAAAACAATATGAAAAAACGAAAATTTTAATGTTGCCGAACTTTCTAAATATTCTTTATAAGTCCATTAACAAAATCCCAGAACATTTTAGGGAATTTTTTTATTGTAAACCTTTTTTTAATTGTCAATCAAGCTTGCATTCATTATATACTCTGCGTGAGCGCGAGAGGGACGCATCATAGAAATATCTCACTCTCACGTATGGACCAGTGACTCGCTCGAGTATCGTGAATATCTCCTTACAAAAAGCCTAACCTCATGCAGAATATACATTGAGCCCCCGCGTGAGAATTAAAAAAAAAATATAATAAAACCCGTAAAATGCATTGGGATTTTTTTCCCTGGGAAACACACATATAGAGTATGTTGCTGGTAAGCTTAACTCAGCATACTTTGCATTAAGAAATCTACGGGGTCTACGAGCCCCTTCCCACTTCAGTTGGCCCACTTCAAGATTTGTACCAAAATATGCCTTTATAAACTAAACATGACAAACATGACAAAACTATTTACTTCTATTTATTTTCTCAAAAACATTTTAGATACACTCTAGTCGTAAAAAATACATATTTGAAATCACTTAGACCTATAACTAATAGAACATCTGAACAAATAAACAATGTGCAAATAAATACGCGAAGCTAACAAAGCAACAATTGAAAAATTACCATTGGATAACATCACCTTTATTTTTTATTACGGCTGAAATTCTTTGGGGTATAGTGTTAACCAAGTTTTGGCAAAAATTTGGTGTAAAACAATCCCATATTTCTTGAAGCTTGTGTCTCAGTTCGGTGATTGTACGAGCGGGATGTTGTCGTAGAACCTTTTTCATCTCGTGCCACAAAGTTTCAATAGGTGACAGATTTGGACTGGTAGAAACCCATTTCAAAAGTGATACATTATTTTCTTCCATCCATTTTATAGCCTTTTTTGAGGTATGGCATGCTGCACCATCTTGCTGAAACACAAAATCTTGGCCGGATGTCAAACATTCTTCCATCACTGGTAAAAGCGATTCTTCTAAAATTGCCAAATATTTCTTGGTATCTACATTTCCATCAATAAAATGAAGTTTTCCTACTCCTTTTGATGACATACTGCCCCATACCATAATAAATGCTGGAAATTTCACTTTTCTCTTCAGATAGTCAACATGGAATGCCTCATTTTTTTGCTAATAACTCTACTGCGACTGTCACCAACACAAACTTCGAATCGGGCCTCATCACTCCATTGTATTGCACACCATTGTTGAGGTGTCCATTGTCTATGTTCTTTAGCCCATCTAAGCCGATTTTTCTGTTGCAGTTGAGTTAATAGTGGCTTTTCTTTGGCCTATAAACAAGTTGTGAACTTTATTGTTTTTACTTCACTTTTTTTATAAGAAAACTTACCTTGCAAGTGCTAAATCCCAGTTTATGGGCCTCTCTATGAGTTGTGGACCTCAAAATTCTCCTTCCAACAGCGTCACTCCACAGAGCACTTAATTGTAAATAATTGGCACGCCTGTTTTTTCACGATTATTCTTCTTAATGCTCTTCGGTCGGCATTTGTGATATTACTTTTTTTCACATATCGTGGCTTAATATTAACTGAACCAGTTATGTTATATCTTCTAACGATATTTCTCACACTGTACCGCGATAAGTCTTACAAAGTTGCAATTTCTGAGTTTGATTTCCCAGAATTAAAAAATTTAATTATCAGTAACCGAATTTTCTCACTAATCACCTTTCCTCTACCCATTTTGAAAACCTTAACTACCCAAAACTATTTTAAACGTATTCTGACAGCTGTGATTAATAAAAACAATTGTCATGGATTTTATTTTTCACAGCCACCTATGCGTTATAGACTTATTTTGCATTGACATGAAAATAGGTTGATATGCTGTAATTGCCACATGTGTTATTTTTATGCTGCAAATTTGATTAGGAAGTAATAAAGTTGGTGTTTTCTACTATATATTATCAAAATATTCATTGTTAATATTTTAAACCTATAACACCCTGCTACATTTTTATTATTTGTGTTTGATAAGAAAAAAAATAAGATTTCAATAGTTGGGCCAAATGAAGTGGGAAGGGGCTCGTAGTTAGTCGTAGGTGTCTCCCTAATACTTATTTTGCCATGGCGTACTGTCACATGAAGTACTTGGTTATATACTTTGGCATTTCTTGTGGCATACAGAGAATATTCATTCTGCAAAAGAGGCTGATTGGATTAGTATTTGGTCTCAACCCACTGGACAGCTGTAGACCAGTATTTAAAGATAATAAAATTTTAACGTTACCGTCATTATTGATCTACCAGTCATGTTTATTTGTTAAATAACACACAATACTAGATATAGTACCCATATTCATATTCAAAATGTTAACCCCAGTGCTTCTAAAAAGAGTCCGATGTATTTATGCAGTGCCATGTATAATAAATTACCTTTAGATATTAAGCAGATTACCAGCTTATCTTTGTTCAAAAGTAAACTTCGGAACCTCTGACTAAATAAGGCATTTTATAATACAAATGAATTTTTGTGCGAGTAACACGTTATTTTTATATGTGTTTCTGTACCCCAATTCTTTTATGTCATATACTAGTTATCCACATCTTTTCTTTTTATTTTGACGTTTTGTATCCAATCTACAGGCTCACACAAATAAAGCATTATTCTACTAGTATACTATTCTATTCTTTAATAGATGCTTAGAGAATATTTAGGAGGTTCGGCATCATTAAAAACTTCGTTTCTCCATATTGTTTTTCGGGATCCAAAATGGCATATTTTTGTCTCGAAAACAATCAACATTAGAGAAAAGTTATAAAGCAAATTTTTTGCTCAGAATGTCCCAAAAACCTTAAAAGGGGTCCTTTTTTAATAAGATACAAAAACTCTCAGCCAAAATATATTAGATGCGAATATAAAAAGGATACTACAAAACTTGAAGACAGACATTCTTTAATTCAAGCGTCATTTCTTCTAAGCTTTAACCCCGCATAAAGTTATACCGTAAAACTGCCCTTATCTCACTACCTGACCACGATGCCATAGTCCGCACTTGACACTGTCAATACGAATGACCAACTTAATCAACACAAGTGCTGGAACCGACTACTATGCACTCACGGACATGTCTCAACATGCAGTAACAAGCAAGCTTCTGCGTCCGTTTGTTAAGTCATATTGCAAAACTTTTATAGTACCTAGTCTACCCATTTTTGCATAGGTATAACGATTAAATATGTCATTTCATTTTGTTTCAGGAATAACGAGAAACGCAAGGAGAAATCTCGAGATGCAGCACGATGCCGCAGGTCGAAAGAAACGGAAATCTTCACAGATCTGGCCAAGGCTTTGCCGGTTACAAACGAACAGATCTCACAGCTCGACAAGGCCTCCGTTATGCGGCTGGCCATTGCGTATCTCAAAGTTAGAGAGATGGTCGACCTAGGTAAACTATCTTTAGCACCTTAATACCGAAATAGATAGATGATAGACTTATAAGGTGAAAACCTTTTCAGTTACTGGTAAGGTTCGGGATTCACATAACAGATATAGAAAATATAAAATGACATTTAGATAAAGGTGAATTGGCAAACACAAAAAGATGTTTGGTCTTAAATCCACCCTGGTCATTTCAATGAATCACAAAACTATAGGGCGTCATTTCATTTAAACGTTGTTCCAATTGTCTTCTAAAAGCAATTCACTTGTGATTTAGTCATAGATTTATGTAACGAATTTTACATTTTTAGTCCAAGGTTTTTAATAGTTTTTTCAATGTGGTGTTGTGGAATTGCTATTTTATGCTTATCTATGTTTTATTTGATCCACGTCAGTTGATGATATATGATTGGTGGGTATAATATCATTATATCCATGCTCGTGAAAATGCTCCTACACTCTACAGGACATAAATTATTCATGTGATGTATACAAAAGTCTAAATGTGCTCCCATAAATCCCACCTCAGTACCAGTATTGATGAATATATTTTACCTGAAGTTTCCAACCTAATACTGTATTACCGCATCCAAAACATTACCTGAGATGAAATGAGATAGCAGCACTTACAGCTATAATTCTCTCTCCCCATTAATTAGAAATTTACTTTGAAAAGGTTACTGTCTCATAGATGGCGCTGTAGCCAAATATATACATATCCCGCTTTAACGCATTATCTGAGAAACTCACATTTTCAAAATAGATTTCTAATTAATGCTGAGACGCCACGGTATCTCATTTCATCTCGGTTTTTTTTTGGGCGGGAATAAAGGATTAGGTTGGCTATCTTCAAGTATCAATGGTACCAGTTTAGTCTGATCATATTAGCAAATTTTCCCGAAATAATTGTAAAGTCTGGTTTTATTGGTGCGGGTTATTCAAGAGAGTATTTAAAACATGGACATATAAAATGGGTAGACCAATTTTTGTGAGAGAGACAAAATGCAGGTTTTGGCACTTGGTAATGCGACGATAATTTCACGCAACTACTTGACATTCTTCAAATCCGTAGGATTCATACTTCCAAATAACAACAACATAATTGGATTATATTGATCAAGTAGTTTTTTGAGAATATCTAATTGTTTATCCCAAAGCACCTGTTTTCCGGCCATCACTACTAGTTTATTGAGCAATATACAGGGTTTGTTCAAATAGCATTTAATAACAAAATACACGTGTTTACCTTGTCGATATGAATCACAAACCATTCCGGAAGAGAAATGTTATTCTTATGCGAAAAACAAAGGTTACGTTTTTTTCTTCCAAACAAATTCAAACATTTCGTATTTGTGAGTAATTGAACAGATTCGCTACGATATTCGAAAAACATAGGTTATTATACACATTTTGAAACAAAGCGGATGTGTCTCATCTCATCTCATCTTTTATACTTTATATATATCATATACAATTAGAAATTCTCAAAAACTACTTGAAAAACTACTCCAATGTTGTTGTGGTTAATTAGAAGTACGAATCGTACAAATTTGAAGAATTTCAAATATCTGCGAGAAACCATCGTCGCATTTCCAATAAGTGCCAAAACCTGCAGTTTGCCTCGGTTTTCGGCCATTTGCTATTAGTCTGATCTTTTTACGTGTGGTCTCGTTTGGAGGTTTCATAAATACCTAAAAATCTTATATAAAGAATTTTAACGTTCCTGTCAACACTTTCGATTGAATCCCAAAAAACACGTTTTCTCATTCTTTGTTATCGAATAAAACGTTTTCCCACAAATATTGGTGTACCCATTTTATGCGTCAATGTTTTGAATACCCCCTCGAACAACTTGCAGCAATAAAACCAGACTTTACAATTATTTCGCAAACCCAGGGGTATTTTCGTTTAATATGATTAGACTAGTCATGCCTCCTTACAAAACAAATGTACATATTCTAGTGTTTTCTGTATTTGAGCATCTCATTTACATCGAACCACTTTTTTGACTAGTCATTAATCATTTGAGCATGCTGTTGTCTTTCATTCCTATGGACATCAAAACTGAGTGTAGCGTCATCAGTCTACAGGGTGTTCGAAAAATAAACGGAGAAACTTTTTATTAGTATCTTAAAAAATATTTACTCGATTCTGTTGAAATTTGGCAGTATTATTAATGTATTTAGGGCTAATTTAACCTTAAATACATTAATATTATTAGGTCCAGTGGCGTCCCGGGGGGTACCTTGGCGAATATTACTGACAACAAAATGTATGCCACTGAATTTTCTGTAACTTATTATTATAAATATTTGTTGTTCGATTAAACATCTAAAAATACAACTTCTTTGCCTCTTGTATTTTTTTCGTATTTCACTTCGTTTTCGAGAAAAAAAAAACCGTTTTATTGTATGTCACTGTACAAAATTGGTATTTTATTTTTTTCTAAATAAATCACAAGTGTCTTTGAAAAAAAAATCGAAAAAATTTGTAGGAAAGAGTGTTATTGCAACTTTTCCAATAGGTACCATGTCCATACATTTCCGTACTTCTCACTGGACGAATCATTGAACGACGAACTCCAGGTCTATTTTTTATTTCTTCACAAGCATGTACGATTTTATTTCTTAATTCATCTATTGTTTCTATGCGAGTAGCGTAAATCATCGCCTTAAGGTGTGAATTGGTCCACCTTTTCCAACCCAATTTTCAGCAAAGGTGTTATTCTGACAGGTATACTAAAATGAGGAGGAGCTCCATCGTGCATAAAAGTTATTTGGTTACTACATTTAGAGGAACTTCTTCTAGCAGCACGGGCGATACTTGTTGAAGAATGTCACTATTTAATATTAAGAAAGGACCAATTAAGTTGTCACCAACAATACCCATCCAAACATTTAAAGAAAATTGTTCCTGGTGGCGACATTGTACGTAACATGACTGTTATGGTGAATTCCGCAAGGAAATTGCGTGAATAATTTTTTTCTAGCATAACTAACGCACAAATGTCAAACCTCCGTGCAGACATGATTTGTTTTCTAAGGCACTTGTGATTTTTTTAACAAAAATTAATAAACCAATTTTGTCTATGCACTCCATACAATAACACGGTTTTTATTGTTTTTCTCGAAAACGAAGTGAGATACGAAAAAAAGACAAAAGGCAAAAAAGTTGTATTTTTAGATGCTTCAATGTTTGTTGTTTCATTGAGTTACAAAAAAGGCAGTGGCTAAATTAGTCTCTTAATACAACAAATAATATTGCCAAATTTCAACAGAATCGAATAAATATTTTTTAAGATATGAAAAACATTTTTTTTTTTAAATTTATCACCCTGTATCTTGAAAACTCTGCATTTCCGGACCCGTATTTATAGAAACATATATGGTATGAAATACGTCTTATTGAGGGATGGAAGATTCTCTGTCCGTCGGTTTTGAGAATTTGCAAAACCTCTTCAGTTATCCAGAATATAGAGTACTCAAAATCTTTATTAAACGCGCTTATTTTTTCTGATAGCTTTGATTTCATCTAGCTTGAGTTATCAGCGGTTTAACGCCAGCTTGCGGAGATGTGTCCGCGAAAACAATGATGTATAACTTTATGATAACAGACGTTAATCGTAAAATCCTCTAGCAAACTAGCTTTAAGTACCCTACGCAAGATACCACATTATTTTGTTTAGTTTTAAAACAGAATTTAATAGGTAAAATGACACCTCTGCGTGGATGGCCTTAATACATCATACATTCTTTGTTCCATTACATTTCGACATCAATCCATCATTATTGGAAAACCTTTTACTTCTGATAAGCAAGTTTCAGTAGCTTGTACGTTTACCTCGCCAGATTTGACTAGATATAATACCTCACCGCTTTTAAAAAGCAATTAGTACATCATTCATTATCTTGTTGGTGTATTCAAACAGTAGTGCTCATTTCTATTGACTTGTTTGTACATCAATTTCAAAGGTTTTGGCAGAGGCCTAATGAACTGGGCACTTGATGATAAACGACTTAAGGACGATAATAATCGCATCCTTTATTGACCATAATAGTATTTGCAATTTGTCTGATTGATGTTTAAAACTGTTTCGTGCCTTAAGGCTCTTTAAAAGATGCCAGTATTTTCAAAAGATTGTTGTTCCTTTATTTACATGTTCTTCATACGTGCTTTGTTGCCAGTGATGCATAATTTGATTTATAAGTGGTACTTCTGTTTTTCAATGGGTGTTTCGATATCTTGGTACATCGGTTTTCCTCATACATGCATTTTCATAATTAAAGTGGAAACATGAAAAAAAAATGGTAATCACAGATTGGACATCAACTCGCGGCATTCAAACCGAAAATTATTGGCTTTCATTGATCATAGTATTATGATCGACAAAAGATGTAGAAAATACTTCTTTGACAAAGTTCACTGTCGTAACTATCATTATTGTTCTTGCTTTGTTTTTATTATTGGTAGTTGTGGACTGCGGTCTAGCTACTTTATAATATGCATTGTATTCATGGTCTCTTAAAGATCGATTCGCTTAGATAGCTGCAAAATTCTAAACAATGATGTTATTATTCAGCGAGGGATCAATTATGAGTATCTATCCGTTTATATAGTTCAGTTAAATTAAACATTGAATTATTACCAAAACTTTTGCATACTACGGCGCTCATGTCTTAATTTTGTCACTGATTTACGTATTTTCATTGACTACATATTCCACCACTTGGAGAATAAGTTAGTAAATGATTCTGGCTAGTGTTCTGAGTTAAAGTTTCTCGATATTGCGAGCATGAATTAAGAATCATTCTAATATCAAATTTACCAAATTTCATGTCAGTTTTCCAGAATTTTTTTATATCGGTTTGGTGTCAAAATCTCATCAAAATCCCTTCCATAATTTCCAAATTTTAGAGGGACTATCGTTACCAACAGGCAATAGACAAGCAATAATTTTCCTCATGTTCACGTCGGAAGTGAAACTGGAACATGTATGTACATTGCAATAGTTTCCGTTGCACTGTGCCCAA